GAATTTGACCGTTTGTTCGTCTTCTCTTCGATTAGTATGTTTTGTGTTATATTAGGGAAATATCGTGTCTGGGATTTGGTCCTATCGATAGATCTGCCTGAGTTCCGTGTCTCGACTCCAGATTGCTGAACATTTGAGAGTTATGTGAAGAAGGTGCTGGTCGTGTGTGTGGGCATGTATGTAGTGACACATGATCGAGGTGTCAGGTGTTAGATGCGCGTTGGATCTTGTCTACACGTGCCATGCAGAATTTCTTGACGATTGGGGTCATTGGAACACTCATGTTCTGCTATAAGCGCAATAGTGTGAGTGCGAGCGGATGCTGTGGATTAATTCGTGAACTCGCTTAGCTGTTGTTGAGTTTGTGGTTGTGGTTTAGCTATTGTGTTCTCGTTGCCGGTATTGTGGTATGGCCAAAATTTATGACGTAGGAGAATTGTCGTGTTTTGTTTGTTTAGGATCTAGTAAAAGCTCGAGTCAAGACAGGAGGGCGAACAACTGGCTCTTACGTGTGTGTTCTTTGTATTTTGTCTATGCACTCGCATAGGAATAAACCAGGTCAAGGATTTGAATGAGTGCGGGGTCGTGGTGGAGCGTTGTCCTATTATTTAGTTGGTTCTTTTCATTCTAGTTCGTTGTTTCTCTCTCGCAAATTCAGGAGCTTTGAATAGGGCCAATTTGGTTGTAGTGGGTGACAGGGTGGTGCTTCGTGGGTTGTGTACGTGGAAATAGTTGTTGTGGTAAAGCGATACAGGGAAAATGGGAGCATATGGATTGTTAGAGGGCTAGCCGTTTTTCAGGTGTTCAGCTCGAGTGTTGATTTCCTTCGTAGTAGAAATTCGAGATTTGCGCGCGGAAAAGCGCGAGTTAATGGCGGTTCGAGTGGAGGTAATTTGTGTATGTTCTTGTTAGGAACGGAATCGGTGTGGTTGGTGATAATAGTGATTTTGGCTCTTTGAGTGGTGGAATATGTCATATATGTATGTGATATTTGATCTCTGGCAAATAGTAGTCGGCTTTCGCTTTCCATTTCCTTTTTGTCCTTATTGGAGTTAGGTAGCTCGGTGCTCTCGGTTGGTTCGTAGTCGGTTCTTTGGATGACGCTCTCCGATGTTTTTTGGCCCGATTTTCTTCAATCGCGGGTACCGATGAGGTCTCTTTGGGAGTTATGGAGTGGTTTTCGCCGTAGAACTCGCTATCTAGAACGTTAGATTGTCGGCGCAGAGATTTTTTCGAAGCGATCAATTCGGTTAATGGCTTGATGTTTGATGGGTCTACTTCGGATTCAAACTACCGCCCATTATTTTCTGCTGTAACGAGTTGAGAAGGACTCGAGAAAGTGGAGATGGTGTCGCACCCTTGTACCCGATTTTTTTACTATACAAAATCACAGTACTTCACCGAGTCGGTACTCACACCTTCGCGCGCTCGGTACTCTAACCGTACTTGCGAGCGAGAAAAGAGTTAATGAATAGTGTTGTCGTTGGTGATATGATATATAGATATAGATGTCCTCGGCTGGGATTTTAGGTGTGGCTTGCTATTCGGCGCGCTCTTTCGCGTAACGCGTATGTGTGTCACATTGATTTACTAGGCGAATCGATTTTGATAATGTGACAGCCCTAACCAAGTAAAATCCCGACTAAAACGATGAAGTGTGTATGGCGCGCGAGATGCAGCTCGGTGGGGGTGGATCGGAGGCTCCTGCTGGAGTCTTGCCGATAGGACCTCGCCTGATGAAAAAAAGAGCAGCGGTGATTTAATTCACCCCATCTCCCTCCTCCAGTGCGTGAGCCTTCACGCTAAATAGAAAGTGGATCGTACGCCGACATTCTTGTAGTCACTGAAAACTGCCTCCACAACAAGACCTCAAAATTTATCTCAACTGTCGTTGGATGATATTTCGCACAAAGGAGATGCCACAGTTCACCATTTTCTAATTGGTACTTGTACTACATTTATGGGGAGCTAGTCCTGCCTCCATGGAGTACGGCTCAACCAAGCTCTTAGATGTAAGGGACTTGCGCGGTGGTTAGCTCTCGGTGCTCTGTGGCGCGTTTCTTTTGCCACATCTGGGCCTGTTCAGAGATCAGCGGCTCAACTGATTCGTTCTCAGGGGCTCTCTCAATACGCTTGGCCTTCCGCTCATGTGGCCACTTTTTGACAATGGCGCATGTTTGTCTGGCTTATTGGTGCATTTTGTGCGAGTTTCAGCGGTTAGGGGAAATGCTGAACTTTACGTGACATTATGGCAATTGCAGAGACAATTCCCCTTTCAAGTGAGAGACCGATAGAGAGACGACGGGTTGTAGTGTAATGGTGTGTTGTTCGCTCGTATGGAAGCTTTCCCGAACCATGAAGGTTTGGTAACTTGGCTCTTTTAGTTCATGCATGGCGAGCCGCGGGAGTATCAGACCACGGCTGTTGGCGACTTGACGCTTTCGATGTCGTTTGCTTTATTCCAGGGTGGTTTGATAAAGCTGTTCTGTTCGCAGTTATACAAGCTTGAAGAAGTCTATAGATCGGGATTCAAAGTGGGATCGCTTTTAGAGCGATGATGGCGAAGCATATTGAAGACTAGTAAGGACCAAAGATAATGGCTGTGAAGGTTTTAAGTGTAGAATGGGGCGGTTTACAGAAAGACTATATGCACGGCCAAAAAGTAAACTCTGCAGCAGGCTACGAAGCGGGCAACGGTGTAAAGATGTATATGTAAGGATGGATTGTGGGCAGTAGCGCTTAAGAACATGTTCGAAGCCAGGCTACGGGGAGGTTGTTGGCAGTGTTGGAATTGTGATCACGGCCGTAATTGTGTGGGTGTGATTTATTTGTTAATAGCAAAGACTTTGACCTCCTGTTGAGGGCCGCGCTGTTATCATGAGATCAGGGAACTGGGTATCGACGCTTCAGTTTCGATGGGTTAAAGGCCACCAGGACGACAGCCTCGAGCCCTCCACATCCTCCCCCGGGACATGTTACAGGAACCCGACTTACCACGGCTGCCTCGACCGCTGGGCATCCTGAACATTGAAATGGATACTGCTGCCAAAGCCCAGTGGACTCAGGATCACTCCATCCCGTGCCCTAATTTACCCTTCACCAACGAGCGCGTCATCTTCGGCACAAGGGTAAGAAACTAGCCCGTTTCCACCCCCGTGAGATGCACGAGGCCCTTTGGGAAGACAAAATCAAGGCTCACTGGAAACAGCGCGAGGAAAGAGTTCTTGACGTAGCATATTCAGAGGCAGAATGGACAGAGCGATGAACATTATCAACTGGGAGGCAATGGTAGGGCAATGAGGAAGGCACCACTTGGCATCCAAAGATTCATCACCAAACATGCAACAGGCCACTGTGTGTAGGACGCCAGCTGAACGCCGCCAATGGCAGGTCACAGCGATTGCCCACGTGTGGAACAGCCGACGAAGACACCCTCCATGTGCTACGCTGCCAAGACCCAGCATCCATCCAAAAGTGGAACCAGGAGATTTCCAAGCTGAAAACTTGGTTGCACAAGCGCCACACAGACCCCATGATGACCAAGCAGATCCTGACCCAACTCCATCACTGGCAAAAGGGACACAACACCTCTCTCTGGATGGGATCTGGAACTCCTAGCACTGTAAACGGACTCCGTGCACAGGCCAAACTGGGATGGTGGAATTTTCTACTTGGCAGAATCGCATCCCACTTTGCACTGCCCACGAGCTCCACTTACACTCCATTGGAAAACAAGGTGATGGCACCAGCTGGGCAACTGCCTTGGCAAATAACTGTGGATGCTTCACTTCCGCATGTGGGAGCACAGGAACGATGCACTACACGGTGCAAACCAAACCCCACCCAACTCTCCCACCTCTCCACCCTCCGACAGGAAGTCCTGAAAGAGTACTCCAAAGGTTGATGCTACATTACCTCCCACCGACCGCTGGCGCCTCGATCTGACTACAGAGAAATCAACCTCAACTTGTCACTCCCAAAAACCCTCCGCTGGCTCGAAACCATAAACGGCTAGGGCTGCCTATGGACGATTCGCACAACTACCACCGCCGCACACAACAACAACTTCAATGATCAATGCACACCTACCTCAAACTGGCCGAACACTACAAATGAGTAACATGCTTTCAAATCCTGGGTATTGCCTCGCTCCAGGTGCTGCCTTGCCAGCTTCTCCTGCACTCTCGTGCAGCATTGTCCACTAATGGGGGGCCCATCCGGCCCCTTGAGAATGACCTGACACTGCGCAGAATTTATGTGATGACGACTAGCTAGGTGGGGGCTTCCCACCAATTGCCCGCGTCACTAAGCCACTCCGTGGCCATAGTTGTTAAACTAACGAGTATTTTACACCCCACCCCTAGCCATTACCTTTTCCATTCAATCGCCGACCAAGCACGCATGCATATGCGGTTGATACAGTGTTGATACTACATCGAGTAGACTCAGCCATCAGAAAACAAATCGACCAAATCCACGAAAAACAATAATGGAACCTTGGGTAGTGTCTTCTATTTGGAGCAAGTCTTTTTGGAAGAAGTCCATGCTGCCAGCCATTCCACAACTGGAAATCCACTCTCCAAAGACTCCAAAGTTATGACATTGAGGATCTACGAGGTCCTCCTGGGGTCATTCGAACAAGGGAGCAGCATGTTTGCCCATCGATGGGAAAATGGGTGCTGCTATGTCCATTGCTGCAAGGAGAAGACCAGTGGAGAGGCAACTCAATGCTCAGCTATTCCTGGACTACCATGGAGATATTGTGGATACCCTTTGGACTTTGCCTCCAACAAAACTCACCCAAGGAGACCTATATCTGGCTTGCTGTCTATGTCAATCAACACGGGTGTAGAAACTCACTCGCAGAAATCAGGAATGATAGCCTGCCAAGGTGGACTTCTTTGCCATTTTGGAAAGCGAGTCAAAGATTGGTCATTGCTGGCCATGATGGCTCCTGGAAAGCACCTATCTACATTACTCGAGTCTGGTGTATTTTTGAAATGTTTACAGCTCGCACTGTCGAGGGGTGCAAGGTGGACATTGTCATGCCACCCAAGGAGAGGCAGTATCTAGAGCAGGATGTGATCAATGATGGACAAGGAATTGATGCTCTCTATGAGGCTCTGGGCAACACCCAAGTTCAAAATGCCAAGTCCTCGGTTGAGAGTGACAGGCTGGCCATTCTGAACAAGGTAGAGTCAGATGTCGGATTCCAAGCACTCAACAATGAAGTGAACAACTTGTTGCGGGGGTGGATGCAGGGTGCCCTCGCTCAGTTAGTGGAGACTAGAGAAAACACCAATGATGAGAAATGTGTTGACTTTTGCAACCGAATTGGGATTATCTTGAGCAAGAATGGAGAATCTAATGCAGCCATGAAACTCTATGAGACTGCTCTGGCAATTTGTGATACTGTGTTGGGTGAGAATCATATAGCAACTGCAGCCACCTACAACAACATTGGTTCTGTCTTGGATCTCATGGGTGACTATGAAGGTGCTTTGGCAAAGTACGAGGAAGCTCTTGCCATTAACTTGTCCGCGTTGGGCAAGACTCATCCTGATGTGGCAACCACTTTCAAGAATATTGGGCTTGTTTTGGACAAAATGGGTGATTATGAAGGTGCTTTGGCAAAGTACAAAGAAGCTTTGGTCATCCAAGAGTCAGCATTAGGCAAGAATCATCCTCATGCTGCACTTACCTACAACAATATTGGACTCGTAATGATGAAGATGGGTAATTATGATGGCGCCTTGACAAAGTACAAAGTAGTGCTTGCCATTCGACTGTCAGCATTGGGCAAGGATCATCCCGATGTTGCAACCAGCCACAACAATATTGGGAATGGGCTGTATGCCAAGGGCGAATACGAATGGGCTTTGTCCAAGTACAAAGAAGCTCTTGCCATTCGATTGTCAGTATTGGGAAAGAACCATCATGATGTGGCAAGTAGCTACAACAATATTGGGAATGTGCTGTATGCCAAGGGTGACTATGAATGTGCTTTGTACAAGTACAAGGAAGCTCTTGCTATTGAAGAGGCGGTGTTGAAAAAAATTCATCCTGATGTGGCACGCAGCTATAACAATATTGGACTCGTAATGATGAAGATGCAAGACCATGAAGGTGCTTTGTCAAATCACAAGAAAGCTCTTGCTATTCGCTTGTCAACATTGGGCAAGAATCATCCCTCAGTGGCAACCACCAACAATAATATTGGCTGTGTTTTGCAAGAGATCAATGACTGTGAAGGTGCTTTGTCAAATTACCAGGAAGCTCTTGCCATTCAATTGTCAGTTTTGGACAAAGATCATCCCGATGTGGCAAGTAGTTACAATAATATTGGGCTTGTGATGCAGAATATGGGTGACTATGATGAAGCCTTGCTGAAGTTTGAAGTGTGCCTTGGCATTCTAGTTGATTTGTTGGGCAAGGATCATCCAGATGTGGCAACTGCTTGTGGAAATATTGGATCTGTTCTGTGGAGTAAAGGCGACTTCGAAGGTGCTCTGTCAAGTTACAAGGAAGCTCTTGAAATTAGATTGCCAGCCTTGGGCAAGAACCATCCTGATGTGACAACCACCTACAACAATATTGGTTCTGTCTTATATTCTATGGGTGACTATAATGGAGCTTGTTGAAATTTGAAGCTTGTCTTGCCATTCTGGAGCCAGTATTAGGAGCGGAACATCCTGACACCAAGACTTGCCTGAAATTACTGGAAGGCGTGAAGGCAAAAATGCAGCAACCTTGATTATGACTTGTACTGCATTGATCTAATAAATACAACACGCCACTGATTCCATTACCCCTCCGTACATAGTTTCAACCCTGGGCTGTTTAGAAACGTCTTTCCTTGACTATCTATATTAGGACACAAGCTCCACCTAAAGCAGTCAGATAATGCAGTAGAAGTCTTTGAAGGTGACTGCAGCAAACTATAGACTCCAACTGCCCATATTACACTGACTCCCAAAACTATAAGCCCTTGTGGATGTCGAGTCACAGCATGCATTGGCTTCCAGGAATGAGGTCTATCAGGGTCGACCACCGGTACCGTTCCATACCATACACTTTTAAAAGAAAGTCTATCCAGGCAGTCTTGGCGGCGATTCGAATCCTTTTTTAGAACCGGTGAGCGACCAAACACCCCTAACTGACTAGCCAAGCCAAGGGCTCAAATAATTGAAGCCTGGCCCTGGCTGGCTTCCGTAGATAATTTCCTTACTCTAAACCCCATATATTAAGGTATGGTAAACGTTGCTTTAGAATAGTCAAGAGGGGGTTTAGAGTAAGGAAATTATCTACGGAAGCCATGCAGCCGGGGTCAGGCTTAAGCTTTAGAATAGGTGGATTATTATTATTGTTTTTTATTATTATTGTTTTTGCCAACGGGTTTTTACATGCATCCATCGACACCCCCTTCCCTCCCCCCCTTTTTTTGCCCTGCTCACATATTCATTGCTCTCCTCGTACG